AATACATCTTGTTCTGTTTTCTGAAGTTCCTGTTCGTAGAAACTGCCAGCTATAGGTTCTCCTATATGTCTTTCAGCGAATTTGTAACTGGTATTGTTAAAAGTACTTTGTCAACAACAAATACTTCTTCACTCCAGTTATGAGTATAACCTTTTCCAAATTTTGTTCTTCTTCAATGAAATTCTGACTTTATCGTCAACTTTAAATATGTGTCATCGGTACATGTTTTCGTTCGCTAATATTGGATTTGAAATTGCGTCGTTTGACGATATTTTAGTGGTTCGTTGTTTTGTGTTATTCTTCTAGTCAACAATATTCTGTAAGTTATCAATGTATTTATTCGTATTTTAGCCGTCAAATATTTATGATTTTTTTCGTTGAGTGTGCGATTAAATCGCTAGACAATAACGCTTTTTTTCTCCTCATTTCCAGTTACGTATTTTCTATAATTATTTTGCTCCAAAAACTGCTCGAAATTTTTATTAAAAAACTCTGCTACTTGATCGGTCCAGATTCAGTTCGGCTTTCTTTCTGTAGTTGTTATGATGTGCTTTAGCGCGTCAATCATTGATGTCCCTGTTTCATCCGAGACGGGTACGCTAAACATCGACAACATTAAAAAGATATCTCTTATTATCGTTAAATTGAGCTAGATTTGACATATCAAATAATATATCGCCCATATGTCATCAACGGCATTTGCGACAATTTGACGTCGCGGAAACATTTTTTTAGGCTTGAGTAATTGAGACGCTAGCGTTTCTGCTGGAATATCATCATATAAGTCTCTACCTTGTCCGAGTTTATATTTTGCCCTAATTAAACCCTGTACCAGCCTTCGGTCAAAACATTCTCGCATATTTACGGGTTTCATTTCACAAAATTCGTCTAGCATTACTTTGTCACAGCTGTGTTTCGTTTCGCCACTAGGAAGTTCAATATCTCTGTAGCAGATATGACGCATTGCTATTGCGTCAACCTGATTGTAAGGTTATTGTCCTGGCAGCAGATTACCATTTTTGTCAAGTTGCTCATCAAGCGGGTTCAGTATATTTATGGCCTGGCAATGTCCAACGACCTTTCGCATCCGACAGTTTGCCAATTAATTTATGTTTATCTATGTCCGTTCCAATTATTTCTCTGTTATTGCATTTTTGGCGATATATAAGTTTCATTTTGCTCGAGACATAAATCTCTATCACAATCGCAGTTGCACGTCATTATTTATTTAGTCTTCTACTAAAATAACGTCCTTGACAACACCAAGCGGGCAGCCCGCCCCTGACAATTTTACTGGCAAAAACATACATTTTCTTTTTCCACAAATTACACAAATACCTTTTAGCATTATTCTATTATTCTTTGGGGTTTTTCCGTTTTTTTATCCTTATCCTCTGTTTTAGTTTTAGAAGTGAGACAATATGTTGACATTTGTAAATTTAGATAAAATTAATTGCAATTTCATCATTAGCGCGATAAGGTTGTTTATCAAACTGCAAAATGAATTGTAAAAAATGTGGATTTTTGGTCATCTGTTTAATGAACATTATGCAATAATATCCACAAGCGGAAGTTCGAACTGGCTGAATTTGGTTAGAAGAATAATTTATTATTTTGTATTTACTCATATTTGTTTACCGCGTTACTTGGTGGAATTCCGAAGGAGTCGAAATAATTGTTTACAAAAACAGCTACCCAATGTGTACCAGATCAGTCATTAAAATCTTGAATATTTAAAACACATGAACCTTGACACTCTAGCGTCTCTTGCGACGATGTCGTCGTCATAAGCTCATGTTTGGAATAAACTCCGTGAAATTTGTTTTTACGTTTTTCTTAGCTTATCAAGTATATCAAAATTACTTAACGGAGCCGGCAAAGTCATCCGTGACTTTATCTTCTTGTTCCTGGCAGTGTTGGACCTTTTCTTCGTCCTAACGACCTGGGAATAGACTTTCCCCTAATGCTGCTAGTAATGGGACTATTGGAATAAATCCACCTTGTCGCTGTCGTGTCTTTTTTTTTTCGTAGTTATCTTTTTTCGCGTTGTCTTTAGTTTGGGCATTATATTTAAACTTTCGACAAAAAAGTGCTCTCAATCTTCATACAAAAATTTTCTTTCTACCATTACCTTTAACTTTTTCGTTGCGCCAGATACTGCTCCTGACGCTTCTGCTAGCCATATAGTATCAAGTACTGACAAAACTTTAGGCAGTAGTGTTTTGACTATTATAGATAGTGCCGGACCGAAGAAACCGCCATGTTTTGACATCGCAATTATTTGTGCAGCGCTTAAATTTAAAACAAAAACGTTTTTGAGTTCGTATTTATTTACTTGATTTTTAGCGGAATATCATCAAAAACAACTATTTTGTGTTCGAACGACTTAAGTTGATTAACTGGATCAAGTTCTTCCGGTTGTTTAATAATAAAAAATTCTTCGCCAGCCTCAAGATCGTCACGAAGTTTGTCATTATAATTGTTAAGTAATTCGTATTTATCTTGTTCGTGATTATTTGTGTAAATATAAACGTGATCGTAGTTAAAGTTATCTCCTAAAAGTAAATTCATAGGCAAATTTGTTTTGCCCGATCCAGATCTACCAACTATACGATAATGATAATCTGGAAGTTCATTGTTATGTTTATGTTTCACCAAACGATCTTAATCAAAAATTAAAATGGGCGATTTTGCCATTATTGTTATAAAATTTTATGGTATACAATTTTGTCAACAATAAAAACATAATGAGATTGTATTCAAAATTTGGAACATAGGTAGGAGATTCGTCGTTTGTTCAGCAAGGTGACTTATCTAAATACGCAACTCTTGATCAGCTCAAAAATGAAATTACTAATTTATTAAATATCACAAGTGCAGATCAAAACAAAGTTTTGTTTTTCAAGATAAAGAAGGACGATTAAAGACGAGTAATATACAACCGTCCGATATATTTATACGAATTCCCACTGCAGTTGTTAATAATATAGCTACTTTTACCGACAAAGGTAAAATACAAGATTCGGGTAATTCTGTTAACGATTATGTTAAGAAAGCTGGCGAAGTAACTACTGGTGGCTTTGTTATGTCAGGGGGAAAATACGTATCTTGGAAACCCAGTCGCAGATACAGATGCAGCAACAAAAAAAATACGTCGACGATCAAGAATTTAAGTACGTATTAGTGAGTGGTGGTATCATGCGTTCAATTATCAATATGAACAATATGGTATTAGTAATCTCAGAGCACCAGAAACGGATTTCGACGCTGCAACTAAATAATACGTCACCGAAAATGAAATTCCAATAACGACTTCCTTAAAGACAATCAATGATGGAATTGCCGCATTTAAAACTCATTATATAATCACGTACAAACGTTTCTAAATTTTCGTAGAAATTTAAATGGAACTATTAACGAATAGTTTGGAAGTCCACCAACTGTTACTATTAATCTCGTTGCTGTTAACACAAGACTTAACGATATCAGAAGTGCCATTCTTAATATTGTTTAAAAAATTAACCATGTTAAAATCCCTCACGGACGATCTAACAATATTATGTACACAGCAGCATCGGATATAAAGTATGGTCTCAGCAAACTAACACTCAAACACACCGCAGAGGTTACTGGTGTGTATAGATTGTCTGTGGTTAGCAGTGCAAAGTTTAGTATATTTACCACATTTGCATGGCGTCATTCGACTGATGATTTTTCTGGAAATGTGTATATAGTGTTAAACAAAAACATCGAGGAAACGTTTATGCTGATAGCGAATAATAAAAAGTCAACCACAGCGATTTATTGGTGGTATATTGAATTTGTAGCTGAAACTCCAGACTTAGTTACTTAAAGAATGGTATAAAATATGTAAACAAATATTATACAATGAAAAAATATAGTCGATTTTAATCATATTTCAGAATATATTCCCAAACAAGATGTTGACGCTCTAATGCAATGTTACAGATACTATCATAAAAATCTTTGGTGTGTCAAAAAATGTTACAAACACTATACCAAAATACTTCGAGTGATATATCTGCCGCTGCTAATGACCGGCTCTGTCATAATTTCAAGTGGCGCATCATTAAATCCGTTATTTTTAATAATACCTGGTGTCAGTGTTCCACTTGCATCAACGTGTAAAATAGCTGAACCTCGACTCGCGACTAACAAATGCTTGCAAAACAGCAAGTATTACTTATAAAAAAATTAATTGATCAAATTCGATCTTATTTGCGTAGCATAAAATATGATATGGACGATTTAATAGGCGAGTTCCGTATTATTGATAGTATATTAACAGATATTCTGCCAATGAGTCATCATCTGCCCAGCCGGCAATTTTAATATCATTTTCAGTCGCGAATAACTATACCGACCCATATTTCGGCGATATATGATAGCCTACTTTTTTAATACAATCGCTTACTATATTAGGTTTTGTACCGGTATAATCTGATGCTGCTTTGATTGAATTAAATTTTTTACAAAATCTGTTTGTTAGATCAAATCCAATATATCTGATCGATGGTTTATAATAAGACATTATATATATATATATATATATATATATATATATATATATATATATATATATATATATATATATATATATATATATATATATATATTTAGTTCTTCATCATATATTTAGCTTGTTTAATATAACATTTTGACTAATAAGTATGAAAGACTGTCATGGTAGTAGGAAGGGTTGATGTGATCCTAACTCAGAGACACCCCTACCCTGACATAACATATTTTTGTTAAAAAATGTGTTAGAAGAACCTTATCATGTAAAAGTCATCATTTTGAGCTAACAAAGGCTGCTGACAAAGATGTCAACGTGCAACGTTTTTTGGGGGAGGGGAGAAAGATGGTCTCTGATACAGGACATCACCTATCTTTACTACTATATTTTAATACACATTGTCTGAATGAAAGGCTGTAGAAAGAGTCGTGAGTGATCTGGTAGACTAAGTAGTTATCACACTGGTGGACTAAGTGGTTAGAGCGTCCGCCTCGGATGCGGGAGGTCCTGGGTTGGAGCCCCAACTGAGTCATACCAAAGATTTAGATTCTTGGTACTAGCAGCTGCCTCGCTAGGCGATCAGCATCAAGAGGGCTGTGTTAAGACTGGTCGTCCTAGTGTCAGGATAATGTGACTGGGTGAGACATCATGCATCATGTCTGCGGCATGGTAACAAGTGTTAGACGTCGCTATAAACTGTCACACTTGATACATCGTAGCGATATAACTGAAACATTGTTAAAGCTACGTATTGAATCATATGCACGTTCCTTTATACAACTTTTGCTATTCTTTAATTAGTTTTATTTTACTGACCTCATGGAGCCAAGATTTGACTTCATACCATTAGGAAATAATATAAAAATACATACTATTGGCAGCATTGCATAATGTAAGTAAATCGTTATTCTTCAGCTCAGTTTTAAGAGTGTTTGTCGGAAAAACATTCAGCTGATAACTCCAATGTGGCATTTAGGTGATGAACAATTTATCAGGTGTACTAGTAAACTGGTGACGCGTGTAAGGGTATGTACGGTAAGGTCTGTTGTGCAACATCCTATATAAATTACCTTGGAACCATGAACTATATATATATCAGAAACAGCTACTTTACTATATCACCTAGTGTAATTTGCTAATGTGCTGCTATGATCTTTTTAAGGATGTTCTCACAACTTCCATAATGTATCCCAATGAGCAACAATACAATGCCTTCATACTTTCTGGATTGTAATTATTGATTTAATTCGACCTTAAAGGTAAATTGCTCTGAGTACATTTGCTTCGTTTTATAAACAAGGATGAATCTGTTCAGTTAGAAAAGTTAACAGGTAAGAGTATTTGTGAATATTTGGAATATTCCGTTAGGCTTGGATAAGATATCTAAACCTCATCCACCTGTTCAAATATGTCATCTATAGCAGAGAGTTAATAAGTTTCAATTCAATGCTATCAAAGTCTGTTTTTTTGTGCGAAAGAAAGTGATTAATCTTTAAACTGGGTTTCCACATAGAAACCCTCTTGCTCTTTTCGTATTTGTTTCATCTCAAATCATTCACAGATCAATATATAATACCACATGATCCACAGGGCTTTGAAATTCTGCCACAGTGGTAAGAAATACCAGAATAGTTATGGAAAAAAGATTTTATACAGATATATATCGCAGCCAAGGATGAAAAAGAATTCTCTAGGTGGATGGGTGTACAATATAAATATTAACTTTTTTCGATACCTTTCAAAATAAGTTACAAATCCAAACTTGCCTGCCTCAAAGAACGGATGCTAATGATCCGACCGCCATTACTGGATGACAGTTACGACTGTAGTTCCAAAGTATTGTAAATCCAACAGCACAAAATTCTGACTCCATTTCCAAAGTCAAGGTCTCGTGTCTTACGCTGCAGAAGTCTCCCTTTGCTATTTACACATGACGAATGCACAATAAAACATCAAAAGACATTTAAAAGTTTTCATTTTATTTTCAGCAAAAAATTAAAAATCTGTATATAAAGACAAAAAGTACTATTTATCATTTTCGTTTTATAAAACATTTTGAAGATAAATGCTAAAGAACAATCCCACAGCGCATAACACTCAACCTTGATCTTGGAGATTGTGTCACACTGACTTTTTTCTTCTGAACTTGGATTTACGATGACATGTTCTCGAATGCATTAGTACTACCGTTCTTAGTCATGTTACTATCATCATCGTCATCGTCGTCGTCATCATCGTCATCATCATCATCATCATCATCAATCCCTTACCCCATGAGGTTCCTGGAGCACCACAGGTGACTTTACAACCAATTCTCACTATCTTTCCCTGATAACTACTGTTTCCTACCGCTCCGGTGGCCTAGTGATTAGAGGGGCCGCCTCGGATGCGGGAGGTCGTGGGTTCGACTTACAAAAATAGTACTAACAGATGCCTCGCTTGATACTCAGCATTAAGAGGATAGTGTTAGGACTGGTCGGCCTGGTGTCAGGATAATGTGACTTGGTGGGATATCATGCTACATGTCTGCAGCATGAGGCTTCAGTGCTAGACATGACTATAAACTGCCACACTACAAACATCGTAGCAATATGACTGAAAAATAATTAAAGCTACGTTTAAAAATCTAAATCACACACACATACACACACAAACACACACAGACACACACACACACACACACTACCTATTGCTTTTTGGGAGTTTCCAAATCATATGCCAATCCACTCCTTAATGTTGTTTTATCATCTCTTTTTCTGTCTGCTTCTTCTTCTGCACCCTCACACACATGAACGTACTACTTCAGGTTGCATTTTTATTACAGTGGTCAATAGGTCTTCATAGGATCCGATGGCTCGTTGTATCCTGCTGTGGACTTCTTCGTTGGTTACAGGGTCAATATTTGAAGTGTCCAGGATTTTACGATAGCATCTCATTTTGAAGGTTTGAATCCTTCTTTGTAAATCTGATGTTAGAGTCCATGCTTCACAAGCATACAGAAAGATGGATATGACAATCGAGCGCATCAACCTTATTTTATAACCAAGAGCAATGTTTTTATCTTTCCATATTGGTTTCAAACTTGTGATGTTGTCCATCTGGCCTGTGCCAGGTTCATCTTATAGATGCTTTGTGAGAGCCGAATGTGTTGGCTAGTACAAAATTGCTGTAAGCAAGAGCATGAGTCCTGCTTCATTAGTTTCCGCATTGCAGAAGGGTCAATAGGTGCTTTGCCTGATTGTCTGTTAACAATGCCCTTGTAGACAATAAATCCAACGCCATGATTGTGTTTATCCACTCTTCCGCTGAAGTAGAGCTTATGCCGTTCATCTGTTATTATTACGTCTTTCCAGTGCACTTTGCAGATATCAATAATGTTCCAGTTGTACCTCTCCATCTCATGTGTAAGTTCTTCAGCTTTCCCACAGCACTCAGTGTTCTAACATTCTATGTACCGATGATGATGTTGTCTCTCCCATGGAGCTTGGTAGTTGGGCTCCAGTAGCATACTTGTCACCTCCCTCCTGGTGTTCAGCAAAAGGCGCGGCCATTGTTGACCCGGGACGCGACAGATCTGGCATGAAAGAATTGTTAGTTGTCTTCATGTCGTGTGTCAAGGGCAAGATACAGACTGGCGGAGCCCATCCCTCTCCAGAATGGATGACACAACAGAAATCCACTGATATAATGTGGCACGCCCTAGCCCTGAGCACACGGTCGTTGAGCTCATCTTGGAGTCACTCCGCCCTGACCGATGACTTCATCGAGGAAGACTTCAGCACCAATAAGGCTCTGCTGCCATCATACTATTTTACCCATAGTTGGGAGACTCGTGGGGTTGGGAGCGTCTTATTCTATCCAGTACGGATCCAATGGACATGTACCACTGCATATATCTTGCTATGATGGGCGGTAAAAAAAAAACATTCGTTCAAATAGACGAGATATGGTTTATAAAAATACGGCATCGAAAACTGACAAATATTTATAATGCTACAGAAAATTCGTTGCCAGCCTTCTCAATATTATATCTGTATAGGACTTTTCCCGGTGTTTTTTACATCAACTATTCTGGCTATGATGATCTAATTTTCAAAGGCCTTTGCGCGATCTTTTTATTACGAAAACAAAAGCAAAGGAACACAATAGAAAGTACCAACAAATACTTAACTATCGAAATAACAAATCTTGATTTTGAATATCATGCACTTAATTGTCTGCATCCAAATTAAGCCAAAACAAATCTACTTCAGATGTAACGGTCCCACATTAATTATTAACTAGGATTTTTTTAGTTTTATGACTCGTAATGGCTTCCACGTATTAGACAAGGAATAGTGGTAAATGATGGAAATCTCTTTCTTAGTTTACATATTTTCTTTTCTAAAAAAGCGGAATGAATATCAAATTTCCCCTTTATTGCCAAACTTAGTTTATCTGCTCAGCAGGGGTTCAGTTGTAATAATTAGCTGATACATTAAACGCTGTATATCAATGAATCGTAAAGCAGGAATACCTTTATTTTACAAAATATTTATTATTCCATTTAGGTTCATCAATTTAAAATTTTCTTCTGAATTCACATTCAATTAATTGACATTGCCAGACAGTAAATCTGAATAATCCAGGATCTTTTTTGATAATGGATTGGATTGGAATTGAAAACAAAATAGACTCCACTCATGCGCAAGACATTTTTTCTCGTTCCTTCAACTTGATATTCAACTTAAAGATAATTAGATGCCTCCTCGATGATCGGTCACTTTTTCGATCAACCGAGTCATTTACTTCGATATATATATATATATATATATATATATATATATATATATATATATATATATATATATATATATATATATATATATATATATATATATATATATATATATATATGTGTGTGTGTGTGTGTGTGTGTGTGTGTGTGTGTGTGTGTGTAGAATAGCTGGCAATTGTTTACTTATAGACCAAACTAATTCACATTTTTCATCATATAGCTGATTTAACAAACCGTCAGAAAACGACGCAATTTTCAATACACCATAAGAAGTGATGAGCTTTGCGCTAACTACACGTTTAAAATGAGCCTCGGGAGGCCGAGTGGTGTAAACCGCTCACCTTTACCGATCACTGCAATCTCACCTCTGTCTGCATGGGTTCGAGTCTATGGCTTAGCCAGTGTAGATATGTGAGAAAGCTGTTAGTAGCGTCATCTGGGTCTGTGTTTTTACAGGGTTTACTCGGGTTGGTCCTCCACTGAGAAATGACATTAAATCCGCTGCCCCCCCCCCCCCTCAACAAAAATCCACACAGTTATGAAGTGAAATATAGCAAAATTCACGTGTTAAGAAGAAAATAAATGTCTAGGTTGTTTTTTGTCATGGTTTATTCCTAATGTAAATTATGGCGCGAGAGCGGTTACTTTGGTCGACATCGGAGAGACGTACACAAACCAGCAAGTGTATTAATGAAAATTCACTATACTATTGTTTAGCTTTAATAGGAATGTTACGTATATATAATTAAATTGGT